GTGTGTGTAATAAAAAAAGTATGTGTGCCCTGGCCATCGACCTCCATGCTTCATAGGTACATACATGTACACTGTACATGTATGTGTTGTCTCACAACTACATGTACATGGCAAGTAACGTGCATGCTTGTGTGATTTAAATTTACAGGTGTAGTGTGCTTGTGATTGAAACTAGGGTGAACCTCTTCCATTCTAAATATAAGGCATGACTCATCTGAAGCATTACATGCAGGCCTATTTATTTTCCAGTCATAATGTAAGAGTAAGGCACTGCATACATGTTGCACATCTAAATCTCATCGTTCACTGGTACAAAAACAGGGAAAGGACATAATCGTTTTACAGAAGTTCTGTTGTTGTGTTATTTGTGTACGTATACATGTGACGCTGGCATTTTACAGTGTGCATGTACATCAAATGGCAAAATTAACGTACATGTCTATGTATGTAAATACATTGAAACTGTCCCTGAAGTGAATGAAAACATACATTGTACAAGTGTACATACCGGTATAAGTACATTCATATGTACAGAACTGTAAACGCAACTGCTGCTTATACATGTACATGTATGTTAAGTAAATATACACATACGTGTATGTACATTGTACATGTATGTGTACCATTTTTCATCATGTTTATACATGTACATGTGTATATGTACAGGCTGAAGATTTTATAACTTTTTTCAAAATGTTTGAAGTTTTATTTGTAAAGCGAAAATTATATACGACACTTGTCGAAGTCCTTTGAAGGTCACAAAAATGTACCAGTACATTGTATCCCTTAGATTTTGTTGTTCAGCACACAGAGCCATCAGTACTGGTACATTGAGAAGTACATGTAAGTTTATGAGATCAAGGCTAACAGTCAGTTTTTTATAGCGACAAATTTACACATACTCAATGGTAAGGAAGTTCTGTAGTTATTCAGGCATGTTATCCTACAAGTACCTTAATGAACATTGATCTTAGCAATGATGGCACATGTATGACTTCAGTGGTTTTGACCAGTTTCTGAAATGTTTCCTTTCTTGCTGACAGTCCTCATCAATGAGAAGATTGTCGACAATGATTTTTATGGAAAGACTCTGAAGATTACTGATTTCGGCCTGGCAAGGGAAATGTATCGTACAACCAGGATGAGTGCTGCTGGTACCTATGCCTGGATGGCCCCAGAAGTCATCAAGTCCTCACTGTTCTCAAAGGGGAGTGATGTGTGGAGGTACGTACATGTATGAGTGGACTTGAGAAAAGAGTTGATTTGTCTTGATTTGGTTCCAGCCATTTGGCTTGTCATCACTGAACAAATTGTCTTACCCTGAAATGTGTCTTGTTCTTTTTGCCTTGTATCTGCTGATTATTAATTATGAAAATCTTAAAGCATGCACAGGCTTTAAAAGCATTTATGAAAGCCCATACAATTGTTTTTAAGTAGCAATGTGTTAACTTATTCAGACTTCAAAACTGGGAATCAGTGCTCTTTGACAAGATTTAGTGCACTCTGTATTGTATTTACAAGCATGCAATTTTTCCTCAGATCAGCTGATTTCCTTGTTTTTTGCTTCACTCCCATGTCATTGAGAATTGAAAAACACTCTACAAAGTCTGGTTAAGATTGGAATTTCCTCAATTTTGTCAAAGTCCAAGTTGCATGCCTGTATTTAGTCTTTGTAAATCTGGCTGGCTAATGTAATGAATTGCATTGATCCTGCAGCTATGGAGTATTACTCTGGGAACTGCTCACTGGAGAGGTACCCTACAAAGGCATTGATGGCCTGGCTGTTGCCTATGGCGTCGCAGTGCAGAAACTCACACTACCCATACCTTCCACGTGTCCAGAGCCCTTTGTCAGAATACTAGATGGTAATGTTCAATTTTCCAGTCTGCTTTCCTAGGTCAGCTACATGTAAATGTCAGCAGCAGGAAGTATTTTTAATTAAAAAGGACAAAAGTATTCTACCGGTGAGAGACCATGGATCCTCAGGGGAAGGGGAGGTATGTAAACGGGCAGTTTCACATTAAGTATTTAATTGGACATATTGCCAATTGCACCCTAGTCAAATACCAAATTCAGATTTTAAATTTCAGTTCATTAGCTTGTCTTGTGGTTGTCTTCCTGTGAAAGGTAAACGTACATGTATACGATATAATGCAAATCCTATGGAATGCTCGTACCATTTAATCTGTCACACATTACAGTACAATGAACGTGGGTGTGGCAAGATTCAGTGTAAAATCAGGAGAAAGGGCAAATGCGGTTCATGAAAGCTCAGAGGTCTTTCAGCAGTCAGTTAATGGCTACATTTAACCAAAAATATTTGAAAAAATGAAATTTCTGAAAAATTGGCAAAGTCCAAATCAAACGAAATGAATTATCCAACGTGATGATCACTATTAACATCTTAAAACAAACACTCATCATTGCACTGGTTTTTTGTGAGAACCAAAACATTGTGCACAACAAAAGAAATTGCCCTCTTAATGCAGTGAACGCCTTACGTGCACTTGTTCCATAGCTTTGGGGACATACATGTACACTTGTCATTACACTGATTTTGTGGATACCAACAAATTGTTGGGACAGAAGAAAGTCGGTCCTAATTTGCTTAACAATAGAAAACTTCCCTGTAACACGGCGAGGGCTTGTTTAGTGTACATGTGGCAGGTTCCCTGAAATATGGACCATTACTGTACTGTTCAACTTTAGGGGTTCATTTTTCCTGAAGTGAATAGCAGTGAATTAATTCCCAATGTCTGATGAAAGAAGGGAGTCGTGGATGATATCTGTAACACTGATGACCTTGTGCATCTTTCAACTTAATCGGAGTTGATTAATTAAAGTCTTAAATGTCAGCATTTTTTGACAAACGTGAACAACCTGTTGAAATCCTAGCCAACTAAAAGTTATCACGAAGTAATAATTCCTGTAGTTATTTTGCACAGATTCGTATGTTGTGTAAGGTGATAATATTTACTCACATTAAAACTATAATCACGAAATTAAAAAATTTCTCACAAATAATTTGGTCCCACATTCAGCAGTCATGAACGTCATTTGATTCCATCAAAATATCAACTGCAAAAAAATCAGCAGGTCAAATAAAAAACAATTTACAACACAAACTTTTAAAAAAAGTGCAAACAAGCACCCCAAACCATCATCCTGTTACGACTGGAACGATTACATTTTCGTCAAGTATGTGTTCCGAAAACTGTGGTCCAAAATACCAATCATGGTGATTTTGTGGTGTCTGTCAATATCTCATGGAAGTATTGCAGAAACATTTAGCTGCATCGTCGGCTGTTTGACATTTGTCCAGATACTGCACCTTCCTTTTCATTCGATATTCATGAACCACGCCACGGCATCGCGACGTGCTGGGATTTTTCTCTTTGTACCACGGTTTCTCAAAAGAAAATCTGTCAAACTGCATAATGTTAAAAAAAAATGAAGTGTTAGGTATAAACTATGATTCATGATGAAAATGCAATGCTCAGAATTCTTAATTTTGATTTCATTTTGAGAGGGGATATCTCCAAAATTAGCAGCAAAATAAACCGAGCATGGAATTTTGAACCACTACGTGTACATGTGACAGCCGTTTCGGCATTGTCGAATGTGATACATTTTCCATTAAAAGTCTTAAACGTCATCAAAATTCCATCAAATGTGACATTCGCAAAGAAGGTATTGTACTTGTTATACATTTTTGATGCATCCACACTTAAAGATTATTTTCTGTGGTTGACAAGTATTAGGCCTGGCAGATACTAGTATGCTGTATAGTGAGAGTGATTATACCGGTAGATGGTAAGAGAATGAAGAGAGGCGAAGCTTCCTGATCATTTTTCTGTCAATTTTGTTCATGGCTCATATTTCTTTAAAGTCATTTCATAGGTACTTTAACATACATCAGTGAAAAATATGCCAAAATCTTCCTATTGTTGAGAGTAGTTTTGAAATCAAGTGCAAAGACTTAGACGTAAAATTTGAAATGAGTTCAACTTCATTCAATTTACACTGGTAGCCAACCAAATGTCCTCACAGTATGCCTCATTCTCCCCAAATAATTATTTTTATAAATCTGAAGATACTAATTTGTGTTTTAATCCTAACCTTCCTCAATCCTTCACCTGTTGGAGGACTGAGGAGTGTTAGGGTTAAATGACCAAAGTCAGTCTTATAGAAGTTTTGAAAAATGACATGTGGAGTTGCGCTTTGGTCCATTTAATGAAGTATACATGTATGCCATGTACCATATATTGTAGTTTGCTAATTTTGAAATTTACATTTGCTTTACAAGTTACCGGTAGTGTTCATGGGTGTCCAAAATTTAACTTTGTGTACATGTACACCCTTCAAAGCACTTTAATATTTTGCCCTCGTTAATGCCCCACACTTTTTATAACTTACATGTACATAAATACATGTAGTATGAGCATGGAGGAAGGACACTGTGTAATCCTGTATGCACTACAATAGAAGTTGTGTCCTTCAAACCTCCTCTCCGCTTTGTTTGGTAAACCAAGGGCAAACAACAACCCCTCTGCCTTGGTCCGCTGCACTCTGCATTCTCTGTTTGACCCTTCAAAACTCTGCACAATTAAATGCATTTGGGAGGCCTTTATTGGATTTTTAATGGTGAAAAATAGTTCTGTTCAGTGGTGTGTTTATGTCAGTTTGGTAAAGGGAATGTGTGTACATACATGTATGTGCATATTCCCAGAAGAACTTGTTCATCGATTGATTTGATTTGTGCTGCATTGAATGGCTTTGCCGCACATGGTACAGGTACATGTACGTGTTGGTTGTTCATGAAATTGTTAAATGTGTACACTACTGTACATGCACTGTAAAATTATGACCTGGGATATTGAACACAGGAGGGTGAGGATAGTCTTGGTTCCAAGACTTTCCTGAAGCTTATTCCATGATCCTGAACCATCACCGTTAGTGGTTGCTACAGTACATGCGGTACATGTACATGTACATTGTATCTTCAAATAAACCCCTGTTATCCACAAACTGCTGTGGCAGGAAGGTCTTGGATATTGCATTCCCTAGGGGGGCAACAGACTATGGTAATAGTGGGTACAATACAGTACATATGCATTATTCGTATCCCGTAAGTGATGAGTGGTGGAAATTATGCAAACGACCTGCAACATACCACATGTTAGCACGACATTTTCAAACTGAAACATGAGCCAACAAGTCTCAGTATCATGACATTTCATGTTTCCACTCGCTTTTGGCAATACAAATTTTGGCTCATTTCTCCCCGACTGGAAATTGATATCAGTAGAATGAATGCTAATCAAGTAATATGAGTATTGAATATGAGTAGTCAAATGATTAGTATATCTGAAAGGCATGTTACAACCACCTACCGGTAAATACAGTGTTTTACGGCCATTTTTGTTTTCAATTCTCCATTGAATGACGTCATGATGAAGCCATTGATGGGCTTCTCACAGAAATGAGGTGGGGGGGAGAGAATCGTGAAAAACATAAGCACTGCTGAATGAAATATCCAAGACCTTTATTCAAAGTCACAAACAAGCCCAAGAAAATATTGCCCTCTGTAGTCTGAATTCAGTACCCCCGGTACAGCTATATGTAAAAGCAATGCAAGATCTTGGAGGTAAAACTATATTGAGGAATACATATGTACATGTACAACTTTGCTTCACTCACTCAAGCAGGGAGTGATGATCTCAAACTACCTTTTACTGTGTCATTGTGCATTGCTATTGAACACAGGCTCAGGGTACCAGTGTTGAAGCCTCAGCTGGGACTGAGGGAGAAGTGCCAGTGCGCACTTTTATTGTTTACACCCTACTTCATCTCTTGCCCTCTTCCCCTGACAGGCCAAAGCATCTGCACCTGCGTAACTCTTCCCCTGTCATTTGTTTGTCCATTAAAATTCAAGGACTTCATGCCAAATGAACTGTTTGATGTGAACCTCTTGATCAAGTTGTCAGACATGTTTGAGTACCAAATGCTGCCAACAGAGGGATTGTGAAAATAAAAAAGAATGGAATAAGTTAAATTACATCCACCATATATTTATTAGGCCCTAACCCCTTTTGTAAAAATTACGTTGAATTTGGAGGATTCAGGAATGTTATTTATGTGAAATTGATTTGAATAAATCCCAAATTTTCATGAATACAAAGACAAGCACTAACACTCTTTACTGATACAAACTACATGTACTGACTGAAATTGGAAGAAATAATGTTTGAATTAGGGTATTTTTTAAAAGCAGTGTACTGGTAATTAGTGGCTAAACTAATTGTAACTTGAGAAGTTACAAGTAGTTGTGTTTGTAATAGACCACTCCCATTTTGCCTACAACTTATTTGGGTGTCCAACGGTTTGCAGAGATATCACCTTTTGGTTGGTTTTTTAGTTTACCGGTACCTCCAGTTTATTTAAAATGGGGGTTTGTGTGAATGATTTAAATAAGATTTTTTTTTTTACTCAGTAGTGCGTGTATTATTATCTGGTGTTCTAATAGCTGTGTGGGATTTTAAGTTACACTGTGAATTACTTTTTTACTTCTGTACCGACAGCCAACCATAGATTTAGCAGCCACTTGTTGGAAAAATATGACTGTGATGTCAAAAGAGCAGAACCCATCACATGTATATGAAAATTCTGTTTCTAAAGTCAACTCTTTTTATTTGGTTCCCAGAATGCTGGAACCCAGAGCCCCACCAAAGACCAAGCTTTTCAGAGATCCTCAATCACCTCAGGGAAATCGCAGACTCACCGTTCATCGACACACCACACGAGTCATTCCGCTCTATGCAACAGGACTGGAAGCAGGAGATCCAAGAAATGTTTGATGAGATAAGACTTAAAGAAAAGGTATAAATTATCAATTATTGTCCATCTTCAGCTACTTGAAGGTATCAGTCCACAAGTTTGGGGGTTTGGAAATTACAAAAAAAAATCAAAGCTAAACCTTTTTAACATCTTTTGGGATTGCTTTGGATAATCTTGACGGATGTATTTAAATGAGAATGCATGCATCTGCACTGCTTAAGTGGAATAAAAATGTCTGGTATTGGGTACATGTATGTGGCACTGTTTGCTCTTTCTGTCCTACATGTATTTCTAGTTGCTTCCCTTTTCCGTCCTTCTGTTATTCTTGTTTTGAAATCTTGTGTTTTGCTCTTACACCCTACTCACTTTCATGGCCATGTCTTAAAGAAAACTCATACAAACAGGAAGTAAAAGTCTTCAGAAATGAAAGGAATTCCTCTGAAAATAACATACCAGTATATGTACAAGTGTATACATTGCACAGGATTAATTAATTGTAATAAAGTGCATGTACATGTCATCCAGTGACCAGAGTGAGAGGCCATTATCATGATTACTGTAGTGATACCTTGCTCATGTGGAGGTTGTATACATCCGCATATTGCCTCTTCCAGCAGTAGTGAGTTTCCACTTGCCAAGTTTCAGCTGTGCCTCAAATTTAATTATACTTGCGAGAGTGTGATTTCACCATGGTAGAGGAATCTTCTCTGGCTTGTAGACTTTTCCTAGTGTTAGGAAGTGAAAGAAGTGCATGTACAATTTGTACATGTACACTGTTTACCATGCTCCCACCTGGTCATATTTGCACACTGACAGGAGTTAAGGACAAGGGAGGAGGAGCTGATGCGGCAAACCATAGAGCAGCAGTGTCATGCCAGGGTCCTGCGCCAGCGGGAACAGGAGCTGGCAGAGCGTGAGATTGACTTGCTGGGCCGGGAGCTCAATATCATGATCCTCCAGCAGCAGCAGGACGACAAGCCCATGCCCAAGAAGAGGAGGAATAAGTTCAGACGGGGCAAAGTCCGCAGGAGCAACAAGCGCATCAGTGGACCCTCTGGTAAAGAGATTGATTTGGTTGTCCTTTAAAACTGTCAGTCTGTCCGGGATGTGTGTGTACCCTAAGCCCACTTCAGATCCACAATAGAGACTTCCTATTTTGTGCAGGGAACCAATTTTTGCATTTGAATTCATCCGTAACCTGCATTGTGTTAGTTAACACACGAACATTAGCTGTTGAAGGATTGCAGCTACAAGTGCATAAACCTAGTCCCGAAATTTTTCCAAGTTGTCTTATAGCCAGTTAACATGCATGTGGGATGTTCTTACCCGAAGAAGCTGCTTGGGGATGGGTTTTCTTACCTGCAAATTTTTCAAACTTGCAGTTGCGCTTTGACCCAACCAAGCACGACACGTTAATACGTCAAATGCAGAACTCAAAAATGACTTTTAAATGAGTGTACACGTCCTCCATGAACAACTAAGGAAAAGTTATGTGTGTTTACACGTCATCTGGCATCAAGTGGTTAAATCCTGTTTTGCCTTATTGTTTCATTATCTCGTATACAGTTTCAGCCCTCACAAGCCAAAAAAAAAATTGATATTGCAAAACCAAACCTAAAATGGCTTCTAAAAGCATAAGAAAATAAGCCTCCCCTTTGTTTTGTAATCAAAGTATATGTACATACTTGTACAATTAGAAATGCGCAACAAAGAAATTCAAAGAGGTTTACCATTAAAAGACCACTGGAAAAATATATTTATTCATTCATTCATTCTGGGAATACACAGAGTTGAACTCTGCTCCATATTTTAAAATAAATATGTTTTTTATAGGAAGAAATCTCTAGATTTCATGGTAACCTGATGGCAATTCAAGCACTTTCTAGGAATTAGTCAATCAGTAACCGGAGGGTAGAGAATATGTTGCTGGCTTGCTCAACTGTAACAGGCTGTATCTTCTTTCCCCAAGGTGGGAATAGAGGGAGGGAATCCAGACATTGGTAATCAATGGCAGCAGCTTAGATTTCCCATTTCTTTTCCTCTCATGGTGTTGCTCATTATACATTGTAGATTCCCGAGCCCATTCAGCTACATGTATGTATGCTGGTGTGAATTGAACGATGTTGTGATGCAGCCACACTATCATAACTTGTGCATGCTTGTACCGATACATGTAGCTTCTCATGGGCAGATATCAGCTATGCACATGTACAGTACCTCAAACTCTGGCTGTGTTTTTCCTGTGTGTTTCGTTGATTTAATAAAAGGGAGTGGCAATCTCTTGTGGCACAAAAGCAAGTCCAGGCAGAGCAGTTTTGTAATTTAAGGATTTTTTTTGGGGGGGGGAGGAAGGCACCTTGAGTAACAATTAGAATTTTACAGATGTACATGTACTTGGAAAGTAATCAATTGCAGATTTAACCCTAATCGCGACTTGGCATTCTTTGCTGTTGACATGGTTGGCCTGTAGATTTTAAGTGAAAATCCAGTCAACTATGCTAGATGTAGTTGAAGGGGAAAAAAAGAGAGCAGTGTATGATGTTCATTGACATTTGGTTCAAGCTGTGTGCTTTTAACAGGGTAAGCTCAAAGGTGGCTGAACAAAAGATTAACAGCAGGTAGCAGTTTCTGTGAACTCGATCTATTTGTGTGGAACGGTGCCCCAGAATGAGTAACCCCTGAGAGCAATGTTCCAAAGGTGCCTAACATGTATGCATGTACTCCTAGATGTATGCATTAAAGTGAGAGCATTTCACATACGGAAAATCAATCGTCGTTGTGCCCTGAATTACACTCTGCATCAAGAATCACATTGACAAATTTGTCCTGTTTAACACCTCCATGATAAGTGAACATACATGCTATGCAGAACATGTGTGTCACATCCCACATGATACGGTACATGTGTGCACAAAAGTACAGTTTAAGCAAAAAATGAAACTGTATTGGAAGTTGCTTTTGTCAATTTCACTTTGATCCATACATAAGGCTGTAGTACTACTCAATCACGATCAGGTTTGGATGAAATGAGGGGAGGAAAAGACAGTTGAATCATTGTTTGTGGTTCAGAGTTATTGGTGTTTGGATGATTTGTGAGAATGTATGCTTGTGTGTTCAATGAAATCGATAGTTGTTTGTCCTCTCAAGGGTGCTGTATGTTCCCTGTTTTAATTCTTGACAGAAATATGCCAAACCAATACTTTACTAGTTCAAAATTTGACAAGTTCACAGCTACATTCTAATGTTGCATATGCTGTAAATCTTAGATATTGTGGATGGGTCATGCCATAAATTTGGGTTGTTTGTTTTCACTCCCTGTCACCTCTGAAAATGATGGAATTTCACTTTTTAGCAAATCTTGGATGAGGTCATTTTTAAGGAGTGATTACATGTACATTGTATAAATGTACATTCATACACGCGTATAAAGTACATGTACTGTTGGGGTTTAGGAGTGATTATATTGTTTCATGTACATGGGTAGACTGCTCAGTACCCACCCAACGTGTGCATGCATACATGTATGATGGCAAACACATACATTTTTTTATGCTGTTCTGTGGTCATTTCATAAATTGTTATTGTCATTTTTATTGTGGTTCATTCCTTTTAGTTTGTATTCATTCCATATGAACTTGTGAGATCTAGAAACGTTATTATCTTTGATGGCGTCCCAGTTCTGATTATCCATTTCGAGAGATAGAAATAATGTGTTTAAATAGTGCATAGCAATGGTGACTGATGTTTGGGTTTCACTTCAATTTAAAGTTTTTTAAATCAAGTCGTACAAATCTGCTTCCATGCATGGCATGCTTAAAGCCCAGGAGAATGACCCACACATACCGGTACTGGTACAATACATGTACATGTTATTTCTTTTTTAATTGTTCGGGTGCATTTTTGTGTGAGCATGAAGCCAAAACATTCCCAGCCATAAGCATGCCTGGGGTATTTTGTCAATGTACTTGAGCCCAGATGAGCCCAACACAGCCTGTAACAAACCAAAAATTTGTAAATCCATTGTACAGTAGCTGTTCATAGCACAGCATTCACTCGTACTGTTCTATGTACTGCACGTTGTGTATCTGTAATTTCCTATTGTCACTGTACGATATCGAAGTTCATGTAGTTCATTTGCATCAGGGACACAAAGATGTGTCAGCCATTTCACATTTAATTTGTTCTTCAAGTGTGAACAACCTACTGACTGTCTGGAATTGAAGTGCATTCACATTGGTTGCAGGGTAGTCTATTATACTCATTTTTGCAAAGTGCTGCTCATTATCACAGCTTTCAATGCCGTGCAGATTTGTCTATAATGTCTATGGAATCCAGAGAGCTGAAAATAACTGATATTATAAGAGTGCACTGATCACTTCTAAATTATTGTACAAGGCATCTTCAGATTTACATGTATTGCACAGGTGCATGTACATGTACATAGACAAATGTGTGTGTACATGTTTATTAAGGTGTATAAAATGTACATGTACCAGTGTGTACACGTGAGTTGTATACATGTACATGTACTTGTACAGTTTGCACAGTATGCAGTTACATGTAACTTGTTGGATAACTTTTTGATGATAATAATAGTTTCTGCAGTCAGCATGTACATGTACGCACATGCATTACATGTAGTAGCTGTCTAAAATGTACATGTGTACAGTACATGTATGTTTATACTCCGGGAAATATTAAGTGATTAGACATTACTTGATTGATTGCAGCCTGTCATTTGTTATTTTCAGTGACATACATGTAAATGTACGTTAGTAAGAGGTGGATGGTTTATGTAATTTCTCAGTTCCTCAGCCCTAAACGTAAACACTGGCACTAGCTGCAGATCCAAGACCCATTTGCATAATTAGCGTGATCACCAGAATGGCCTTATGTTGACACAGTACATTCTAAGCCTAAGGAAATCTGAGGTGAGGTGAGGTCAGCAGGCTGCTGTGATGCATGTTTGTATACTGTGCATACACTGTGTACCTTGTAGGCAACAGCTATCAATGATAGATGCAGTGAAATCACACGACTTGCCACATTTTGTGGAACACAGTCCATGGTCCAGGCATCAACTGAATTATTGACATACATGTAATCTCATGGCAATTCTCTGTACAAAAGTTATCAGGACAGAACAGGTTGTTGGTTGTGCTGTAATTCAACTGACAACCTGGAAAGACCCTCAACATCCCAATTTGTGATAAACGTGGAGAGGGTCCAGAATTTGTGTAGCAGCATGGTACATGTACAGTCAGTGAGTGCAAATATTTAAATCTCTAATCGAGGAGAATTTATCCCTCCTCCCCCCACAGGCAAACAGTGGTTTAAAGATGGCATCCACATCCATCTTGCACACACCGTCAGTGCCCATCATAAACACTTTATAAATAACAAATGTGGCAACTACCCTTGCATTTTGGGATAAGAGTTACTGTGATTGGAAAAACAGAAAGCTAAATTTCTCGAAATTGGAAATTTTGTTTGAGAAAACCGGGGAGCTCCAAAGGAGCACCCATGATCTATTTGGACCATACTGTTATCTGAAGGGGTTATATCGGGATGATATATTCATGTGAGGTAAACTTCCACAGTTTCATAATGGGGGGGGGGACAGAGATATATGCTGCTTTCCAGTGTCAGTACTTCAAGGGTTCTCAGGCCTTAGTGAAAATCATTGTGAATTAACATTGTTTATTTTGACTCCAATTATAAAATTGACGATGGTAGACATTCTGTTATTCATGTTTACTTTTATCAAAATATTGATTGTGACCGGCTCTAGAAAAATGGGTGATAATTCACCAGATTCAGGTTATCAGTTTTTGGTATGGCTGGATTGAGTACATCAAAAGCAACAATTTGATTTATGAATGACCCCTGTAGTGCACTGCGTTCCAGAGATATTTAGACATTTGTATATCCACAATTTCGGATTCAATAAAAGCACTTTTTGAGAAAAAGCTCAGAAAGTGTAGCACTTGGAAACACAAGGCTATGTAGGATTTCCCACTGAATGATCAATTTTTCATCTTTACTCTTCAGTATCCATGTTTGTAGTCACAAATTCTGAAAACATAGATGTTATACAAGCTATTAGAGGAAAAAACACAAAAATCACATTTTGCCCTCTACAAATAGAACAGGCCATAACATATGGTATTTTTTAATTGCACGACTTATTACCCCTTTTTTGCAGAGCAGGTCACAATTTACCTGTACACTACTGCTCAGAAATATACACATAGGACCTTTTCGCGATCAATTTACTGTGATGAACTCTTCCCAGATTGGGTGCAATTTCAAAAATAGCACTTGTAGTCCTTTCTCAGGAATCACAAGAAAATTTCATCCAATTGGAAAATTTGTTACGCGGCTTACGGAGACTTTAACGACCAATTGAAGTGGGCATCATGCTAGTGCAGACACTGCCAAGCACATGGTTTAAGACTTCATTCCGGGAGCAAATTCATCAATATGACATGTTCATTTTCGATTGAAAATGCATCCAAATTTTGTGTGAAAGCTTAAAATATCATTGCGAAGAGGTTGAGAAATCTTTCACACCAGTTTTATTGGAGGGACGGGAAGGTGGACAGGTTTTTTTCATTATTCAAGTGGTTTTGATAATCCCATGAGAGTCGTTAAAACATGAGTTTCATGACCGAAAAGTTCGCCGACTACCGAAGAACAGCATGTCATTTTTTTTCGCATTTTTTACTTATTATACCCAATCTTCCAGTTCTTGGCAAATTTTCCAATTCTGGGCATTATCATGTTCGCGACTTGTGAAGGTGTTTCCGTTGGTGAATTCTTTCAAGGTCTGAAGGTCTAGGCATAATGTGTGTTTCAACGTTAGGCATCGTTTGCAAATTTCAGCTTATGTTTGCGCATCGTTTGCGAAGAGGGGCTTGAAGTTTTACAAACAGTACTTTGCACTTTCTCCCTTACTGCGGTGGCCGAGTCTTCATGAATCGGCCTTTACCTTCGGGAAAGAAAGGACTCCCCTGACAAGTGTTATTTTTGAAATTGCACCCAATTTGCGAAGAATTCGTAGAAAATCAATCGCAAAAAGGTCCTATATTTCTGAGAGGTACTGTACTTGCAAGTTCCAAAGTATTGCAGATGAAACTGGTTTGCACTTTCTTACCAGAGATTTTGTTTTCTCTTAGTACATGTACTTTGCTTACTTCTATCAAGTTTTTGCTGGAAATAGTGTCCATAGGTCAAGTCCACCTCACTTTGTTTCACGTTATCTTAAATCTCACCCTGTGTTGTTTTGTTGTACCAATTGCAGGGGATTGTTTAAATATTGAAAGTGATATTTTTTCACAGATTTCCAGCATAAGCTGACAGTGAGGACTGACCCATCGTATGACAGAAGGGACCCTCGGTCACCACTGAGTCCAGAAGATAGCCCACCTAAAAGCCCACTGCCCAGGTTAAGAGTCATTGCACGTAAGTCAAGTTTTGTGATGTTTAATGCTTCCTTCTGAACAGTGACTTGTTAGACCTTCTTTTGTACCAGTTTTTCTTCTACCTGTTGCTCCCTAGTCCTAATCCTTCAAAATCTACACTTACACTGTACCAGGTTTTGGAGGATATGGAGGACTTCAGATCCTTGCCACTGTTGTTCAATACCTCTTGATACTGAAGTATAAAGGTCACTCTGCAAATGGTAGTGCTTATGGGGGAGACCACAAGGCCCCATATATGGAACTCTTAGCATCTGGAATGCATCATCTGTGCAACAATTTAAATGACGCACTTGTTATTCATTCCTTAATAATTCATATTGTTATTCTGTTGCTGTTCTTGTTCAGTATCCAGTATTCAGACTGTAGTTAATTATTAGTTGTATTGTCCAAGAAGATTACGGGTACCAAATTTCTAGTCACACTGTTAGTGAGGTTAAAAACCAAAGACTGTCCAAGAAAAACCAAACTTTGCTTTAGTTTTGTAAGATTTTCTCCTTACTTTTTGTTTTGTTTTAATCCTTGCACTTTTTTTCCATTTACACTGTGCAGACAAAGTACATAATGTTTGTAGGGGGAATTTGGCTACTCTGAAACCTTTCTGCACACATGTAAGTTTAAAATGATACTGAGAGTAATCTCGTGAAATTGTCTCATTGTATTTGTTTCAGTGCCCAAGGGGATCAAGGGAAAGACTTGGGGCCCCAGCTCTGTTCAGCAGAAAATGAAGGATCGGCCCTTTAAGGCGTACTCCATGTCAGAAGCCACGGGCAAGAAATTTACCAATACCAGCACACCAAGCCTTGGCTATCCGCAATGGTACAACACCATCGGTAATGCCTCCCACGATGGTAGGTTTTCATGAAGAAGGGCTATCAAAGTTTCATTTGTAAAGGTTTAACCACCACCTGCTGGGGACTCCGAAATCGGAGCTGTATGGTTTATATGCGTGGCCGGGGTCTCCGAACTCGGACAAAGGAGACAGGGCCCAGTAACAAAAGACTGTACTCCGAACAAAAGACCAGGCTGTTGGGCATTACCGGCATTTTTCACTCTCAAAAGTGGTGATAATCCAGCGTTGTTTTGAAACCGTATACCAGGGTTTGGGGCATTGAGAGCAAGCGGATTACCACTGGGGACAAAAGCGCTCCACCACCGCAGCGATGAGTCACACAGCACCGCTGCACGCTAATCTGGCCCCTATTGAAAAGAGGTCAGCAGTGCACTGAGCCAAGTTCGTGAACAAAAGANGGTCACCTATCAACTTAGAGTAGTGCCTAAAGATTACTTTGTGCGGCTATAAACGACCGTTAAATGGAATGATGAATTTTTGAAGGATTTTGAAAACGGAAAAATGATAGTCATGCTGGCCCAGCATCATCAACGTTGAAAAATGCCCCGGCACGAAGTGGTTAAACATTTGCTGACAGATAATTATTTTGCAATGAACTTATCCAGGGTGCAGTTTTAATTTCAGCCGAAAGTACCATGAGCCTTCAGGGTTTTTTCATTAATACCATGCAGTCATTTGACACCAATTGTATGAAAATTGGACATACTTTTCTCATGCAGTGTCCATCTTATTGAGATACATGCAGATTGGCCAGAAATGTATATTCGTCCAATAATGCGCAATGCACACGGGCTGATTGGGGTGTGGCCTTGAACTTGTGTGACTGTTACAACAAAACATGGGATCAGTTTGAAACCTCACATTTGTACTGACAATGAGTGTCTTTACATGCATGCCATGTTATGAAAAAAAAAAATTGAGTTCTTGGGGGACTCCGTCCTCTGGCCGTGTGTCGGTCTGGCGAAAAAAGCTCTTCTAGGATTAAGAAACTTTAGCGTGTTCATACATGATGAAATTGTTCCTTTACAGAAGCAGAATGGCCAACAGATCTTGGCCTGCCCAAAGCTCACTGGCCAAGTGTGGGCCCTAGCACAGATGATGGTGAGTCAACAGATGACTCTCGGACGTCACCCCGTAACTCCCTTAAACGAGAAAGGAAGCGCACCACTGCCAGCCTGTACACCATGACAGCCATGCTGGCCTCGGTGGCTGTAGGATTCGATATACGGACTCTGAACCAGTTCAGACAGGATGAGCTGGATTTCCGCCATCGCAAGAACTCCTCAGCCTCTGAGAGCTACAGCCGTCAAGGCAGCCTGTCATTCCAGCACGACCTGGACGATTCCCCGAGCATGTCACAGGCTTCAACCGTGCGACTCATCAGTGTGACATCCACCAACGACGATCACAAGCACTACCTCAGACAAGGGTCCTGGCAGGGCTTTGTGGACTCCACATCCAACCTGACCATCAAGCAGAATCCAGCCTACAACGAAGAGACCAAGGCCATGGCCCCCGTAGAGCCAGTACAAGCAGCCACAAAGACACACAGGCGTACGGCGTCGGCAGACAACAACCTTAGCTACTTGTCGCACAAAAGGACTCCCTCGGATAGTTCATCACCCTCCTATTCGTCTTTCACATCTACCGTCAAGTATGATGGGACTGATCCCTGGAGTAGCCCTGAGTCTGATGTGTCTAGATTACCAAACCCACCTCAAGCTCCACCGAGGAGAATAAGCCTGGGTAAACAAAAACAATTTTAAAGAATTTCATATCTGTTCATTAAATGTTGAAACAATTTTGTCTTTATATGTCTTTCATCTTTGCGTTGCTGAATTTCAGAGGTCACAAATTTCTTACAAAGACTCACGGCCAGTGCAGAAATTGCAAAAGCATCAATAAACTCAATGAGGAGCCAACGTGCAATACATGATTCAGGACTAGGTTGTCGGAATACAATAAAGACTTCATTGTACATGTACAAAAGGGAAATGCAGAGGTTTGTTGCTACTCAGCTTAGAAGCTCAAGGATATCTAATCAGTTAATTGCAGTATTTCTGAATTGTCCCAAGAGAATCTGTCTTTGACTCTGTTATCCGCCCTGAGTTGAAGTGCACCTTCACCGGCAAAAGAAAGATAGGCCTGTACAAAGTTTTCCAACTGGGTTCTTGCTCGTGTTCAGTGTGCACGCGAAGACTAAATGTTCCGGAATAAATATGTTGCTCGTTCTCAGCATGCTCTGTGTCAAACGCACATAAACTTGTGCACCTACTGTACATGTATGCAGTGAGTTCGTACCAAAGGTCTGTTAATTTCATTTCAAAAGACATGCCCTCTTTTGTTCCTGCCTGGAGTGGATTAAGGTGTAGAATTGATTTAAACTGTTCCCCAAAGCACAGTAACATTCCAGTACTCTAGTTCTAGTACATTCCTGAGCTTTTTGGACATAAAATAAATAAATCCTAACAGATCAGTCAAAGGATTCAGCGCTCTTGAGGTTAATTGGAAATGTGTACCAGTAACATGGAATTACTGATGCAGACTTCCATGAGATGAAACAACAGTTCCATCATCAAACATAGGCTACGGTCAGGTCAAAGGACACATAAAGAGCATTTCAGTGAAATGCGTCTGAATTGCACGCATGAGTCCTGAGTCCTGAAATTGTGAAACATTACAATGCAGGAGTCAAAATTAACATTGGTCTGCTGGCCGGGGCCACCGGAACATTCATCGGGCCACTACATTCTCCCAACATGGTGGCCCAGCGGGACAGCGGTTATTTGAGGAACATTGCCACATTTTCGAAGCTTTCGTTACATTTTACGACTCGTGTTTTTTAAATCACCGGTGCAGTACTTTCAAGTTCACAGTGTAATTCCTCAGTAAAGTTGTCTTCCTTGTGGCAATTCTTTACTGCACTGAGTCTTCTAATACAAAAAGTCAGTTGTAGTACATGTACATGTACTTAATAACATTACCTGTTTGCCGAAATTCTGTATTTTAGTGCTACCTTCAGACACACACCCAGAGCGGCCACGGACTCTTGATATCTCTCCAAGACCAAGACCTTACTCTAGAGCTTACCTGACACCACAGCCTGGTACCCAGGACTCCCCGCTTGGTACGTGTACATGTATGTAGCCAGTATTGTTGTAGTGGGTGAGAAAACATGGACTCCTTGACCACTTCCTTTATGAGACACTTTTCAATATTGGGTTTGCTGTGCATGTAAATGGGTAGAAAGTGGGGTGTCTATGATGCAGAAGTTTTGTGGCTTGTGCTTGCATTTGCCTAATAAATAGGGATTTCCCATATGGCCAAAAAAGGATTGGACCCCCTTCTAGTTCAGCTTGTGTTGCTCATGCACCGTGATACAATAGGAAACCATAGCAATCCAGAGGTGAGGGACGATAGTAATGTAATATTGTGTGAATTTGTATAGTCAGTGCTCGCTTGCTTTGATATTGGAAGTTGACAAACTAGTTCTAAAGGGAGCTTATAGACAGTTCTGCTTGCCCTGAAGAAGGTACTCAGTTACCGAAAGCTGGGCAATCACATATTTCAGAGCACTGATTTGATGTTATATTCTTGTCTATATTCTGATCACGGTGCTACGCAGCCCTTCCATATTTCTCCAAAGGGAGCTTGTTTGTTAACTTGCCATACCGAGAGCTTCTTATGTCAACTATCCACCTACAAGTACACTAATCTTGATGCATTTGTTTCAGCATACCTAAGGGGCTGTCCAAAATTGTTCATCATTTTCACGAGCGTACAAACCGTCCGGGGGGGGGGATAATACCTCATGTACACTTTTTCTTAATATGAAAAATGATGATCCGTCAATGTGCGCGTTGGCGGTCACCTTCAAATTTTGCGGGTGTTGCTAGCTTGCTCTGCGCCGCTTCCGTTAGGCCACATTCGTAAGTTCTGTTCCATCCTCTGCTAGTATCAGTATTCACTGCTTTTCAAGCCTTGACCTTTCAGGTGTTGTTTTAAACAATGTTTTATTTGAAATTTAGATTTCTGTTAACCACAATACTTACATGTATATCACTGTGCCTTGGCAATAGGGGATTTGGCCAATGGAGCTCTCCATCTATCATCATTTTTGTGCTCTGATGTACACTTTGGAGGGGGGAAGAGGGTCATGAAAAGTCTACTTTTTGTAAAATTGTGAAAAAGATGAAAATTATGGATGCCCCTAAGTGTCCGTTACAATTTAAGGATCACTTCTAAATCATCTAAATAGGCTTTTGTGATAGGAATCCATTACATATAGATGAAGTTTAACAAGTACGCCATTGGAGTATGAAAGGTGTCAAGCTTTCGTCAGAAGAGGCTCTGACTTCATCACTACTCATCAGACCTGATGAAGTCAAAGCCACTTTAAATGTAAAGTTCAACGTACAGTTTTTTTGTTCACAGTAACCAGAACTGTGATGTTGGGCTTACATTTCAAGTTTCTCAGTTTTGTTTGGTTACTTGATGACGTTCCAAAACTTTGAACAGCATTTAAACACTTAAGCATTTCTTGTCTGAAGCAGTGTCTATTTTTCATTACCGTGTCATCCTTCATCTGCGTTTTTGTCTCACAGGGGCAAGTCCAGCAGCAGCAGCAACTGCTACTCCAAAACACAGTACCTACACGTCGGATGTGTCACTGAGCTCTGTGACCCTTAGTCCAGCCCACCATTACCAAGCAGCAGGAGGGGCTGAGATGCCACGGCCCACTGCCACACCCAGTCCAGCTCACTACTACTCACCACATCACCAGGGTGCCTCTGAGCTGTCCAGAAGCCCAGCCCACCACTACTTACCTCCCCACGCGAATCCCTCGCATACACCCCAGCATCACCAGTCACCTCACCCTCACGTCGGAGGCCAAACCCCGTCCCACGCTGCTCAGCATTACACCAGCCCGCAGCACCAGCACCACACGCCATTGCACACTCCGCACCATCAACCCAGGAGTTTGGAACAGCGAACATCCCTACTGGATGAGGACGTAGTGGGACAGAAGGCGGATGACACAATGCCTTTGGTGAGAGAAGGACAGGAGAACAAGCCCAGGAAACTCTCAGTCCTAGAACTGGAGGAAGAGTTCTTATGATGATTGTGGCAAGTTCAAGGTAATTCCAGGTGGTATGGACTCTTTTACGGGTGTAGCCTGCTAGACCTTAAGTACTTCCTGTGTGTTATGATTCTCTGTACTACTGGTACAAGAATCGGGTTCACCATGATGTGTTTATTTAGTACTTTGAAATCTGTAATTATTATTCACCTGTGACACAGCTGAAATTTCATCAGCATGAATTCTCCAACTTCAGTCATCACCATTTAAGACAGAGTTGACTTTTAAAATATGGAATTTATTAAAATGTATTCTTAATACTCATTATGAGGAGAAAAATTGCTTCAATTTATATACATGTATGCTGAAAAATATCTTGTTATAGAACTGTATTCACTTGTGTACTGGTATATTGCTTTAAATTAAAAGGAGTTGATTGGGAACTAATTCAAGTGGTCAGCAGACAGTCTTTGGCTGCTGGTTTTACAACATGCTCCTTTGGTCTGTTAATTGGAAATCAGCATTCCACTGCTTTTTTTTCATTTTCTTTGGTTAAATCTTGCTTTATTTCCTAATGGACGGTGATTGGATTGAGTAGTTTTCGTTAAGGGCATTCCAACCACAGAGTCATGTTTAAATGATTCAAGCAGTAACAGAACATTGAGCAGTGGCGTGGCCAGTGTACAGTGCAGCACTAGATCAAGGAGATCAGGAATCCACCATCTATTAGTAGATGCAAGTTTTAGGGGGTCTTTCACGTTCCATTTTGTAGTCAATACCTTTGCAGAATTCATGTGTCATGTAAATTTTCTATCAAGATTTGGAATACGAGTCTCCATTTCCTCAAAATCTCTTTTTGATAGGTTGGTGTTTCTTAGTACTGTCAGTGTGTAATCATGACCCCAGAACAAAATTTCTTGTTGGACTTTTCTCAGAGCTGTTCAGGTCAGTGTGGTGATAATTGCTTTTTGCTGTTTCAGTGCTGTTTGTTGGTGTACCAATCAGTGTGTGCCAGTTACTCAAACTAAAAGGAACTTAAGGATGACAGCCACTGCTTGATTGTCACTTCTGTTGTACACAAGCAAGTGGGCATACTGAAGTTCGATGTACATGTATGGCAGTTGAGACCAACCTTATGATAGATCTGTCGTCAACTAGATTTTGTCTCCTGTCAGTTTTTCATTCAGTATTAGTGCTTCAACCAGAATTCACAAGTGTGCACACAATTTGGAGCACACAGTCTTTTGGATGGTAGTTAACCTCTGCTGACATTGCGATAGGGGGATTGAATCAAGATGTGTTCAGAACAATGTGCAAATATGGCTAAGAGTACTGGTAGAGATCTTCATCATATATGTACATGTATTTGTACAGCTATGAGAGACCATTTGCTTTGATAAATGTAGACAAGTTGTCATTCCTAACGTGGTCTATTCTCCCATCTCCTTTTCTCGGAGAACGCTACATACCACCAGCTTTATGATTCAAGGATTTTGTGGAAAGTAACACCCAGATGATTGCTTTGATTGTGTAGTTTTCTGTTGCCAGCTAACATGTACTGGATTTGGATGGCATTCATCCTCAGTTTTTGGACTGAATATACATGTATATTAAGTTGTTTTCAGTCTATTACTCTTTCCTTCCACAATGTACTTCATCATTGTCTTGTCAATCAGCTGCTTTGTGTACCATGGTTTGAGTCTTCATAACATTCCTGTCCAGCTACAGATTTTGTGCAATTCAGTTTAGGGCTGACCCTTTTTTCAGCAATGCCTACATGTACCTGTATGTGTATTTCTCCATGATTTTAGTTTAAGTGGGAAACACAGCTTCTTTGGAATTTGTACCCAGTGCAGCATACTATCCATGATAACCAACACAGAACTACTTCTCTGAACATTCTCCAATGAATTGACTCAAAGTACTCGTACATCTGAGAATCTGAGAATCACCTGCAGCTGATGTCATGTCTTCAAAACCCCAAGTTTAGGTGCAAATTGGATACAGGACAAACATCCTTGAAAAGGTGTTTTAGGACAAGTATTCTTAAAGTACTCGGTGAAGTACATGTACTTCTCTCTCGTAAACTTTTATTCTTACAAAACTGTGATTTGTGGAAGTTTCAAATTTATTTTGTATTCTTACCGTTGTGTATTATGCAATGTTCATATTCCCCAGCTTTGTTCACTTACAACCAGTTCATCATATGACATTAAGCTTGATATGTGAAAAGTGCGTGTACTTGATTACAACACTAATATTTGATAGTCAGTACACCAAACCACTTGTGATCATCATCAGCAGCAATACATACACATACACCTACATGTACATGTACAACTCTGTGAAATTGGCAGTGCCATGAAATTTGGCATTACACTTTAAACAAGTGAACTATCCAGCTTTAATTCACGGACTTATTTTGCTCCATCAGCTTTTGTCTTGACATTGTTTCCCTTCTTGTTAAGTACATTTGTCATCTCGCATCGGAAGATTATGGATTCGTTTCATGCTGGTCATGATAACTGTAAAGTGAAGGAGGTACTAATTCAGATGTTTGTTTATAATCAGAATTTGTAATTATTTGTATAGTACAAACACCACACATGGGTTGGTATGCACATATACAAGGATATGATTTGTTTATCATTTGTTATCATTTTCCTGATATGAACAAAGATGGTGAGATTTTGGTTAATACTCTTGTTGTATGAATGTGTTTCTCTTACAAATAATTTGAGTTTGAAAAATGAGCACCAGTCTGCTGTTGTTGCAAGGTCCATTTCAAAATTACCTGTGTAATCATAGTACACTGATCAAGGGAGGTCAATGTGTTGTTATTTCTCATTTCACCTGGCTGTTTAATCCACAGTTTGGATTGGACTGCTTAAAAAAGAGCCCGAGAAGCTGTGTGTATGACTACCATTCATCCATTCATCTTGATTGAGTTCCTTAGCAAGATACCGGTATGGGCATCTGGGCTTGGTAGACATGTATTCAAGTGTACCTGAAATAGGTTTCAAAAAAGTACAATTGACGGACTGAGCATTGACTTGGTACACTCTCAGACAATTGTATTGCACAAGTAAATGCTAGGTTTAGATGTACATGTACACCTTATATATTTGGGGAGGAACTGTTGATTGGCATATGGGTAACTTGTAGGATGTATAAATGTGTATTGATTATGCATAGCGTATTGGAAATATGGTTGTGATCATGCTGATAATGTTATAAATTTATATTTCTAGACATGTGGCTGAGGCTTTGTGCCAGAGATTGTAAAGAATGTGTTAGAATCAACAGCAGCCATTCAGTATAAGGCAGACTGGAAAAGGATTATATTATTGATGGGGAAAAATGGTTAATCAGGATAAGAAATCAGATTACAATCGAAAGTACTAATCAGCAGATTCTTCATTTGAACAGTTACTCAGAAGGGCCATCAGTACATGTATAACATGAGTTGTCCAGTAATGGCTTGAATTTGTAAGGTTTGATGTAAATACATCTTCCGTGGAAGAGTTGAAGGCTTGATTTGGTTCAGGATATGTGCATTCCCAGCTTGGGACATGTATGTAGGGACGGAACATACAAAATCTGAGGTGTACAGGCCATTTCACAAAGCATGGACCTAGCTTCTGGATCTTTTAGTCTTGGAGGCATTCACGGTATTTTGAGTTCAGAGAAACTGTGGCTTTTCTGTTTTGGTTCCATAATTCAACATGCAAGGATCAGGTTTGCTGCAAATGAATCCAGTGTTTAATCGAAAGCCAAACTCTGAGGAATCATCCACAGTATGTCTCACACCACCAAGTTTATCATGTTCAAAGAAAGTTGACAATACATATATCATGAAGTGTAGCTGACATTGTCATATTAATGCCATATTTGTTAGGTATGAAGTCAGTAGTGATAATGCATTACCAAAATTGAAAAAAAATAGTCCTATTACATGCACACTAAACACTGTGTAAGAACCTATTTTTCCCTGATAATTGAAAGTGTAAATGGTGTGACCTGTTTGAAGGGGCTCTTGGAAGTGATTCACTTGTTTTTCTTAAAATCTGTTGTAACCAGGGGCCAAATATGATTCCTAAATGACTTCAAGCAACTCATTCAGTATTTGTTTACTTTTTGTTTCAAGTGAATGTGGTATTCTGTTTGGCCATCAGAAGACAATTCTCTGCCCCAAGTAAACCCACATGGGGCAAAGTGGTAAAATGTAAAAGTTTGCATATGTACTTACTTCCAGTGATTTAAAATCAGTGCGAGGTAAAAAAAAGAAAAGAAAAGAGATTGGTAGATTTAACGGTAAAGGTAACTTTTTTCCCTACACACTCACTCCTAGCAGAATTTCCACTTAAGATTCTACAAATGAAGTCAAGAATCTAAATTGTCAACCAACATTGGAGGTATTTTTTAGAACGCTTTGTGGATTTAGAACTCGTTGTAACAGACTCTACCACACCCCCCCCCAACTTTGGTTAATTTGTTGATTCTACCCACACAAACTCTTCCCTTGATGAAGTTGAAACTTCATTTCACATAGCAGTAAGAAGGAGTGTGCATGTATTTTGTATTGTTTTAATAGTTGAATTTATTTGTCATTTTAATCAGTATTCAGTCTACCTAACTGCAGGCTGTTACCACGGAGGATTGTGTAGAAAATAGGGCATTTTGTGAAATGATTTTTGTAACAAGGTCATTTTCCCATTTTATTTATTTTTGATTGTTGTGTTTTTGTTTTTTTCCTTTCACAAAAGAGGGTACCTTTGGGCTCTAGCTTTTAGTCTGCTCAATCATGCCGACCATCACTATTATCTCTGACATTCCATGTGTTTGATTTGAAAGACCTGCAACTTCCTCTTTTGGGTATGTAGTTTGCAGGTCCTTTTAGTTACCAGACCTGCAAATTCGATTTGGTTACATAAAGAGTCCTTGGTACGAATAAAATATTGATTCATCTGTGATGCCGCCATTTCTGCAAACAAATGGTAAAAGTTACAGACCACTTCACTAAAGTGGAATTTGCAGATTCTAGTTGCGCAGTTTGGAGTGCTCCATTTGATTACCCATACTGCTTTAGTCATTTTGCCTCACTTGTCTAGAGAATTTGTTCTGTGTAGGTGCAAGTGGGATGTTATTGCAATCTCTGCAGTGGGTCAAGAGTTGTATGAAGAGGTTAAGATTATTCCTTGTATTTATTCTTCACTCTTGCCTAGTCTGTTTTCTTGAGTGAACAGGAATGCAGTCCTCATTCAATCCTGACGCAATTATAGTTTGTACCGGTAAGCACTTATCAGCCAGTGGCATTGCGGGGGGGGGTTGCCTCCCCCTTGGGAACTGTTGCCCCTTTTGGAAAATTGGAATTTTTTTCCGGGGGGGAGGGCGGCTACACCCATGGCATCTGTATGTTGATACTTGTTATTTTATTGTTGATTTAACAAGGTTCTTGAAAGAACCATGCATTATACAAACTCAGTGGTGAAGTCAAGGGGGAAGGGCAACTGCCTCACTATGGGAACTCCCCCCACCCCGAAGAGCACTGTTTATAGCACTGAAAATCAAACATGCAAGAAACACTGCCGTGGAACAGCTGTCTTTAACTGATAATGGCACTGCTGTCTGAAACTGGGAGCTGCTAAGCAATGAGTGTGTAAGTTTTTGCTTTTAGTAGTTAAACAGGTTACCAAACCAAGTGCCACTGGTGGGCGTGTTCACCTTGTGACTGGTTTCCCATACACTTTTGCTGGCACTCCTGTCTGCTAAAAGACGCCTTTCCATAGACACATTTTTAGTGTGCATCGTCCGTATGCGCAAGTTACAAAGTGTGTTCATTGAAATTGTGCAGCACTTAAGCGTAGCAAACAAATGCAGATATGGAATGGACTAAAAGACGTACTAAATGGACAGGCGCCTTGCACAGTATTCTCCGCTTAGCAGCTTGTTGAAACTTGGGCCCTTCGTACGTGGTTTTTGTGTTGTTACAATGGATGTAGGTTTTGTTTATACCCATGAAAAGATGCTGTCCATGGCATCCTTGACGGCAAGTACATGTTCTTGTATTTTGACAAGAGGACCTTTCAACAAGACGAGTGGTGTATAATTTGTAAGCAGTGGTGTGTACTGAACAGCATTTCATCATTGCTTAAAATTAAAAATGTAGAGTGTCTGTAGTGTATTGTATTTTTAGTATCTTGTTCTGCTTGAAATTTAATGTATTGTTTTGTGGTGGTTAGATGTGGTGTACACAAAAATATGAAAAATGTAAAAAATACATGGGTCTCTCTGAATTACTGTTGGTTAGAAAGACCTATTTCTTTGTATGGATTCTTTTTTATATATATTTGTGTATATTTTATGTTGAACCTTGTAAATATATTGAAGTTGAGCCTATTGAAACATTTTATCAGTATGATGTTTGTATAGAAATGGGGGATTGGTTGAAAGTATGAGAAATAAAATGTGTACTCATGTCATTTTTAACAAAAGGTGTTTGTTACGGTACATCTGGTTTTTCTACCATAGTATTTCTTTATGCCCTCTGCTTACTAATGCCCAAGAGCTTTAATAATTTAGGAAGATCTAAGAGACTGACATTCTACGAAATGAGGAGGGCCTGAATGACATTCTATTTAAGTCATTGGGTTACTAAAGTGTAAAGGGGTTAAAATACGACCCATTTAAGAAGGAATCGAAATGTATTGCCACTTAATTAGTCAAAGTGTTCCAGGTGAAAGAGTAATGATTCAACTGAAGGACCCTGAAGCATTTTTTTTCTAATTTATGCCTGACCAACGTAAGCAACTGAGAATTTTTTAAGTAAAAATCTTTGGTAACATTTCAGCCAACCTTTCCATATGACAAGTGAAAAAAAACGTAATTTTATTGAATTGACCGCAACTAAATCATTTCGGCTTTTATTTATGCCTTTTTAAAATTGCCTTTCCTTTTTAGTGACATTGCAAACATTTTAGTCGTTGGGGAATCCTGAAAATTCTTCACAAGCTGCCTTTATTATTAGCGTTTCACAATAGTGCGCCTCCAAGAGTTCGCAACGCGTTGGCCAACCACAATGCTCAAAATCTGTCGACCCAGTGCGCCTTGCATGGATCATCAGGACAGAATTACGTGTAGATATCTTTTGGACTATATTTGCTTGGTATGAATTTTATCTGGGCTTCCTGATAACCGATGAATTTCCGTTTTTGGCAGTCTCTGGGAAAGTCCACTTTCTCAATCTTGAAACGCGAATTGCGCATTATGATGGAACTTAGCCGGTTCACAGCACGGCAAGGTTTATCGGCTACCACGCATTCACAACACATTATACACTATAATGGTAATGCGTCACAGTTCATTTTAATACCACCACAGTTTTTCAAGCTAAGTTGTCTCATGTTTGAAATTCTGCATCATAATCCCACCCACAAGATGGTTCGATTGGTCGATAAACACAATTCCAACGGAAATGGTAACAAAGCCGGTTCTTACTTAGCATTTATTTCTACTCCAAGTGATTGTATGTAACTCATAGCTCTGCATTGTTTGGAATGTAAGTGTCATACATTAATGACAATTGATGTGTTTACTTCACTACTGTAACTACAGCAAAAATTGTGTGGAAATGCAAGCAGAAAAGATCTCAGAAGATCAAAATAACTAACAAAACACAGTAAATACAACATTTCCTGAGCATGCCCAAAAATGCATGAGGACGGATATATCCGATCAAAATAAATCCTTTAGTTGAATCTATAAGCGGTTGTCACCAATCAAGATTTCAGAGTTGAAAACACTTAGGCTATTGATTTATTAATTTGCTATGCATAATGCCATGTCTTTTCCTTAATTATAGTTGAACAATAATGTGCCGTGCATTGTCTTATTTGAAACACTGCAGTCCTTGGAAGAAAATACGTATCTTGTTCTCTTTGTCGGGAAAGTCAGCATAGCACAGTCCTAGTTTCATGTGAGTAAGACGGTGCTTGGCAGCCTATCAGTAATATCATGTTCGGTTTATCTTGTAGTTTGCAGCGGAATGTGATGGCGCTGTGGCAAGTTCGACCGGTTACTAGTTCCAAAGCCCCCAAACAGGGCGCTGGAAGGGCAATTCGTGGCGTAATATATGTCACTCATAGGAAGTTTAACGATAAGATGCGCCAACCTTTTCATAATTTTGCGCGTGACACGTGCGCACCGTAAAATTATGCGTCAATTAATTACGACATGTAGCCCCTAATGCTTTGCGCGTCCAAAGCTGCGACGTAGGCCCCTATTTCCTTCGAGCTTCACAAAATTTGCGAAGCGCATTTGCCCTTCCAAGCGCACTCTATGGGCGCTGAGTATGAACCTCGATCGAATAGATCAGACGCCAAAATGTCGGACTCAGAAGAGTCCCAAATCGTTCTGACGTCCAAACTCGGTTTCTGGCATTCTGGCATGGTCCTGCTTTGGGAGCGAGACATCCCTCGTCCCGGCACTCCTGTTGGAGGTATAAGTGCGTTATAATAACTAAATGCTGACGCCTTTACCTGCGCATGTATTGTAGCCTGGATATCCCTTAAATCCCGGGAGAGCATTTCTTATTTACACCGTAGCCTAGGTTTTCGCTGTGGTGGTGCTATAATTCGCACTTGAAAAGAGACTAGTGCTGAGTACGTAAAGGCGCGTATGGGATTTAAAGTGGGGGTGGAAACATGACATATATTGTCGTTGTTAAGTATAAAAGGGTTTCTCGTTATGCCAAAGCTTTAGCTGCTGCTAAATGTCATATGAGAGCTACTCTAGGAATCGTGGTATTCAATGCGCAACGTGAACAAAACTAAACGTAACCTCACGCGACCGAAATACAAGGCTCATAACGCGGAAAGGTTTTTCACTGAGTCTTGAACCGTTTCCTTTCTTCCATGCTTCTAATGCACACAGACAGTGGCGCACCAAGGATTCGAAGTTTTGGTATTATTCTTTGCTCCAGTGTATAGTGCACAGCTAGCAGTAATGTTTAAGATTGGGAATCTTTTACCGTGTGCAAATTAAGCATTATTGACGCACTTTGCTATGAAGCCATAACCAGTCTGCTTATTCGACTCTGCAGTAATACGTGTAAGCTGAACAAGCCTAGAGGAAATAACATAAACGACGCTGCAATCAAGGCTATTCAAGACCAACCTGAACATGTTTCAAGTAACAAATTTTGAAAATTTGATTTTCTTTTAAATGGAAAATTTAAAAAAAAAACCTGAAATAAGGGAGGCGAAAGGGGTGGAAATCTTAACCTGCTTGAAAAATCCTCATTAATGACCCCTCATGCAGAAATTGTTCACGTTTGTCACATCACACTGCAAAATAATGGTAATGTTAAAAAAGTTGCGTGAGCTTGGCTATCCTAGCTCATCAAGCTAGCGATCACAGTGATGATTAAAATTCATTTTTTTCACACACAAAAGAAACACCTTGACTATCTGAGGAAGAGGAATCACCCTACTACTGTCACAATCCATCGGTCTATCATCTCTGAAGTAACAGCTTTCGGAACTAAATGATATTTATATGTAGTACAGGCACTGTTAGGTTGTGTTTCGCACGCTCGCCCTGACTGGTTCAGTCTGCACTAGTCTCTTGTCAAGCGCGAATTAGCACCACCGGGCGAAACATTCTAGGCGACGGTGTAAATAAAAATACGCATCTCGCGAGCCACTTGTCTACTTGCCACTTGTCTTCCAGAGGATTTTTAGTACATTTTCATCAGACTGCGCCGTCCACATTACAATGCAAAAAATCCCCATGTTTTTACACGGCATGAGCCCACAATCGCTAGCTTGTCAGCCTACTCTTGCTTAAAATTACTAGCACTAAATGGCAGAAAGTGTGTTCGTTCTTCTTCAGTAGGACTCTATAATGATAGAATAAGTATTTTGTTGTGCTCACTTGATCAAGTGAAACGCACATATAGGCCGTTCTCGGTTCAAATCACGCTCGGCATTTTTCTCTACATCGCACTGTTTACTCATTTGTACACGGCAAATCCATAAACGAAACGAGGAAGATTTTTTTTCCTGTGAGGTTGATGATATTATTGGCCACTTAATAGACTAATATGTCATAATGTCGCTGCGATGTTTGAACATCAAATAAACCAATAATAAAGGCAATACTAGTTGTAGTATATAACACTTATCTTGGAAATCCCCCTTTCCGTTGTTCATTGTTGCAAAATGAAGTTCAAGCCACAGATGCCTGTGTAAACACATCGGCTATTATTTTTTAAATTCTTTTTTTTTTGCTATTCACTTAATTCTGTACACAAACTTGTTAACATGAACACTCTCCCAGTAAAAAACGTTAGCACAATTCTTGTCTCACTTGTTTTACTCCATAGCATCAAGATATCTTTCACTGTCTGTGATATGCTCGACACAGCAAATGAAGTGATGCGCTCACTTTCAAAAACAATTGGAAAGCTCGAGTTGATGTGGGGGCGCTGTTGACTTTTTGGCAATTTTTCTGGGGTGTCTCACAGCTCAATGGCACCCAAGTAGCGAACTGCTCGGTGAAATTGCACAAATTTGGCTCAGCGGTATCAGAAGGGATATTATGCATTCAGAAAATAACCAGAAATAACGACCAACACTGTACGACACGTTGCATTCTAAACACAGAGGCGATTTACTCCCTGCCCTACCAGTTTTAAGCTGTCAAGTTCTGAGGTCCGTGCTCTGGAGAATTGCTGAAAGGTAACTGTATTGATTGACAACATATACATGTATTTCAATTTCACAGTTGAATGTTAAGATGCAATGTAAATTATATAAATTACATTACAGTCACATGTCCTGCTACAGGAACGGGATTCTGTGCTTTAATGTATTTCTGAGAAATTTAGACCCCAAAGCCCCTCTCCTTCAAATACCTTGGACACTGTGACATGTATTTTGTGTGACAGGTTATGTACTAGCCCCGAACCCGTTGATGGCGGGCGGCCATTTCATGCACTAGCTGGTTATCGTTACGGCGCTCCCAGTTGGCACGGGGACGTCGATGCCAATAAGATCTGTTGAGCTGGGTCTGTCTCCCATAAGTTTCGCCAAAGCCTCGGCTGTCATGTAATGGCGAAAGAGATCCAGAGCTATATTGTGAGATGCAAAGGAAGCAGAAAAACTCTGTGCAAGTAAACAGGAGGAACAGTGCAACATGCAATAAAATCCATCTGCTTTTTTCAGTCTACTCACGGTTTTGTTAGATGCTTAGTGTTGCCTTTGACATTTTGTGTGGTTGAAGCCTGCATTATGTGCAGTGCTATATTTTTGTGCCAGTTTTGTCGGAAAAAGCAAGACGAGTTTCACACACTGAAGCGATACTTAGGCCTTGATACTCAACCGGCTGTCTCCGCGGAATTTTACGCCTCTGAATAGTCTGATATATGCTCCGATGAAGATCGCAGTTTGCGCAAACTCATGATCTTTTCAGACGAATTGGGTGCGTTCGAGTAGCTCATTCCGTGGTCGACACGGGTTACCCCAGGCCCCAAGCTGTCCGAGAAGCTCTGACGTCATGCTCAGGCACTAAAAATCGTGTCAGCGGAGTAGAGTCAGTAGTGGATTTGCGACACCTGTGTGCGAACCCGATTAGAAACGTATTTTTGCTCTAGTCAATGGTTCAGCGTTTTCGCGACTTCAGTTGCGGAAGCATGCTCTAATCATTACGACAAAACAAGAACCGAAGATTTGGTTCATTGCCGATTCAAAACGGCGAAAAACAACCGTGTAGTTTTGTCGTCTTCCGAAATAAGTGAATCATGTATTTCCATTTTTTTGCCGTCAACTCACTTAACACTGACTGAATTAAGGAAATGACTTTTAAAGGTAGCTGAATTCAGTCCTTTTCATCGAAAGAACGCCATTGAAAGACACGCATACGAAATCGGACGACTTTGCTCAAATGTTAGGGAAACATTCGTTGTAAAATAATCAGCTATGGATGTAAATAAACATGTGCCATTGCTCTCTACGTGTGCGTCTTATTCAAAAGACGCGCTGACGTTCGAGTACTTGCGCGTTGCATTTAGAAAATATTATTCGATATTTATTCTATCTGATTTCGAACAACACGCACATGGATTCAAAATGGCTGCACCCGGGACGACGTCAAATTTTATCTGCGCGGCAAATGAGAAGTTAGCGCTCTAGTTTTTATAGTTCTATGGTTGCAACCTCGTTCCCATGGGTACGATCTTGCCACGTCATGTTGGTTCCCACCATGTCATGCGCGATCTAACCCCTGGTATTTTATAATTTAAATATCCCACTATTCCCAATATCCTACTTATTTGGGATATTTCAATTAAGTCTTAAGTCAGTGTGTTTACGTGCGATGCGTGACATTAACGCGTGCGTGACATGCAGGAGAATACGTGGGCGCCAGAGTGCAGCTTTTGAAATACGCCCGCGATTGACTTTACGTTTACTGATCTCCATTATCTCTTTATAATGGAGATCAATGGTATATATACATTCATCCTAAATAGCCAGTCAGCGTCATTTTCGTATTCTACACGACCACGGTCTAGTGAAGGAACGCGCACGCAGCCCATGGAGTCGGAGTTGCTATGGGTGCGTTCGATTAGCTTACACGTGTAAGTCAAACTTACACGAGAGCGTTCGTTCAGCCATCACGTGATCCTCGTGCCTGCCCTGGTGTCAGCCACTACTACCCCGGCTGTCATTGTTCACCCTGTTACTTGTGACTGATCTTGTGAATGGTCTTATGCATGGTCTTGTCATGGTCTCGTGTCTGGTCTTGTCATGGTCTCGAATACAACACTGGTAGATGGCGCTTCGTCTTATATATTTTATGTTTTAGTTTATATATTTGCTCCTCTTTTTTCCAAGTTGATTTGGTCTATGTAACAACCGGTCTGGCGTAGAGGCACTTCGGCCTAATTATTTTCGTCTTATGTATAAATTGCTTTCGTCCTATGTATTACCTTCGTCCCGTTAGTTTCGTTCTTTATATACCTTCTCTGTGCATTTATTCCCCAAAACAGCTTCCTTAGCCATCTCAATCTCAACAGCCTGATATGCTTGTGTCCTGAATTCCCCAGCTAAACAGCTGAAATTTTACTTATAAACCTCTTTCAAAAAGGAAGTTTGATTAGAAATAGAATAACGCGAATTACCGTTAATAATACGAATTACCGTTAAAAAAAGCAACGGGCAAAACCCAGAAAAAGTACCAAACAAGGAACGAGTGTGATCGCAGTCCATGGTGAAAATTCTCCAACACCTTGCATACAACGTCGAATCTTACCTTGATCTTCGTTTTGGATAGTTGTGGTGGCCTGTCGCTTGTCTATGACATGGAACTCAACTGCATTTTCTGTGTAAGGAAACAACGATTCCATTAATGTCTGCAAAGCCACACATAAAACTGGAAAAATCATACTTGTGCTCTTTCAGCCATTATTTTTGGGGAATCGACAACACTTTGCCAACACTCAAGTTTCAATTTATCAATGATTGAAATTCACTTTCAGGCCATCTCGGGCATTTTTTTGCAGTTTCTGTAGTGGAAATCAGAGACTTGCTTCCACATGGTGAAAACCGAAATATAGCAAATTTTCCTCCGGAGTATTTCCGAGAATGACTTAAATGAGCCCAGCTGTGATTTGTGCGTGCTATTCCGGTAGCACAAATAAAGCCATCTAGAGACACGGCCAAAACTTCTGTTTTCGGCAACATAGAAACAGCAATGGTTACATGTACAACGAAAGCCTGTGAAGACTTGTTGTAAATTGAGAAAGCCTTAAACTATTTGAGCATCTCAAGACTTTATCAAAAAGTTAAGGCAATTGATCAAGACATGGACAGTTGGTTGGGTATATGAGGGGTTGCCTGGAGACATCTTTCCACTGAAAGTGCCAACGTTGTATTTCCTATGTCCTTGATGAGGGCATAATGAGGAATCTTTCGCAGATGAAAAAAAAAGTTATCAAAAAAATTGTTTTGCCACCCTGGATCCAGAAATAAGGTGCTGGCCAAATAACGGACTGTGTGACTACGGAGTCGATGTTTGCCACTACTGAGTTACGAGAAGTAGCCGTGGGCATTTTGAACACAGCGACACACACCTGGGGCCACATCGCTGGTACCTTGAACATACTCCTTCCGTGCAATCTGCAAAGCTAGACTAGCCAGCAGTTCCTTCATACTTCTGCAGTCTTCGTGTAGCAAGCCCCACAGCCAGTGGAGTCCGTCCTCCGAGGTGATCTTAGCAACCTGCTTCCTCTTAGGTAACGAGTTGGACGGTTGAGAAAACTCAAAAGACGATCCCCGAGGGAACATGGCTGAGAATAAAGGAAAAGATAAGTCTCCTAAATCAGTTACTGAAAAAAAATTGATTGGAATTAATTGCTAAAATAAGCGCCAAAATAACTACCCGAAAATCCTTTCGTAGAAAAAAACTACAAAATTTACATCAGAGTAAGAGGTTCGCACTTTTATTAAAATTATAACTTTTAATCGTTACCAAAAGCGCGTAGAAATACTTCTGTCTATAGGAATCCATACCATCGGACGCGTTTGAGATTATCATTTTCTTACCATGCTGCAGTATGTGCAGACAGCCTGGACGGATTTCGTATGACGAGCCCATCTTCGGGTGAAGTTCTTGCGAGAGGCAATCCTGGACCTGACGGATCGGTGGTGTAAATCAAACCTGGTATCAGTTTAGTTATCACTTTCAAGCTGGGGCAGGTCCTGACTTGGGCGGTGTAGCCAATTTCGTTAGCTTGGACACGAATAATAGACACGACAACTAATATTATCATATACACAGCTCTTCCAAGAAACTTACTTAGTTGGACTTGACGAAAAAAGTTTGGGCGAGGATTTCACTCGTATCGAAGTTCACTTGCGATGTGTAAAGCAAGTCGAGCATGAGATATTCTCTGTGATTGGTTGGGTAAAGTAGTAGTTTAGGAGGCATACGAAGCACCTTTCTGAGCAACAAAAAGTGGAGGCGAAAGGAGTGAGAAAAGTGGAGGAAGAGGGAATGAGTCAAAAATGGTGGAAGACCAAGAAGGGGAGGGAAGGAAGGAAGGGGAGGGAGTCAAATGGGGGGAAGGGGGAAGGTTGACTAAGGAAGAGGAAAGCAACGACGTCATACCGAGAAAAACTTGAAAGCGTCAACCCGGTCGAGTGCAGTCCCGGAGGGACTCCAGCCGAGCCACGAAGTGGCGAGGGGCGTTTTCTCAGTGATAAACTGGCGTAAGCCAGTTTGGGAACGAGTGACGAAGACACGAAATGGACACACCAGACCCGGAGGAACAGAGGGTCTCAATCCTGAGCCACGGGTGGCGATTGGGGGAGGGGGGTGGAGTTAGTGGGGTGTGAGGGCCAAGGTGGTGGAGAGAGATCAACGATGTTGTGACGTAATGTAAATCCGGAGTTTGGAACAAATAAAAACCGGCACATTTGTGGGCAGACACCATTTTTCCTCTGCCAGCAAGTAGAGAGCGATCAGACTTTTACACAACACAAGCATACCTTGATTTTACAGTATCAAGAATCTTTCCCAGTGACCACAATGGCAACAAATGTCGTAGTCTTATTCAAGGCGCACCTGCCGCTCAAAATCGAAGAGCGACCTCACGCGGTCTACGAAATATGCCAATCAGCGTCAGCTGATGGGTCTGCCTGTCCGTTCTGCTGGCTGCGTCTTTGTAAAACAAGGCTGCAGTAAGCTGAGAACCCTTAGCGTTACTCCCATAGCTAGCTGAGCAACGTCTCTAGTAGGGACCTGCTGGAGTCTCTCCGTTCCTTCGGGACTCCACTCAACCCGAGATTTCGTCCCGGGTTAACGCCTTTTTTCTTGGTATGACGTCGTTGCTTTCCTCTTCCTTAATCAACCTTTTCCTTCCCCTCCCTCAATTTAACTCCCTCCGTCCCCTTCCTTCCCTCCCCTCCCCTTTTTGGTCTTCCACCATTTTTTCTTTGACTCACTCCCTCTTCCTCAACTTTTCTTACTCTTCCACCATTTGTGACTCCCCTTCACTCTTTCTTGCTCAAAAAGGTGCTTCGTATGCCTCCTGAACTACTGGGGAAATTCTTCCAATTTTTCCGTTATAACGCGTACAGTTAATCAGCGGGTTTCTTCTATATTTGATTTGTGCAGCGGTCAGCTGTAGTGTAGCGACGCAAAGAAATTTAGCAAGTGTACATGGCTTTAGCATTAAGTTTTGGGATTCTGCTTTTGAACACGAACCCCTCAAACTTGCGTGCATCTATTCGTATAAGAAGGGTTTCTGACCCGCAGCAAGATATAGAACGGGAGACCCGCGGATGTAGCATATTGGAGGCTTACATGTCCCTCTATAGTTCCGTACCTGACTTTCATCAAACGTTGAAGGTTTCACCAATTCTTGTGAAACAGGCATGCTTGAGACTGTTCAGAACATAAAGCGAAAAGAAAAATGCCATTAAGTACGATAAATGTATCGTGGATGTTACAGAATTGAATCGCATGCTCATTCGGCGCCATGCATTGTTCCATGGTTGCATTGAACTTGCTTGCATGGCGTATTCGGGTTGACAATATTCCGCGAAGATTCTGTAACTTTATTCTTTACATGTTTTCTTTCAATAATGACGCATCAATCATGAACTTGTCTCAGAAAAGGAACAATAAACGCACTATTCTTTGAATTAGACCCTATCATTAAGAGAGAAGAAGAAAATGTCCATCTTCTCAACTGCAGGTTGACCTGAACAGGTGCATGTGTGCCCGAACTGCACGACTTGAAGAGCACAGATCAGCATCCTCGGCCACTTGAGGGTTTGCAGTCGTACCTCCAACAGTCCTTCGTTCGCGAAGGATAGTCTCCTGTCAAGGATCATCCTTGATTTGATGATAAAACGTCACTTTTATTGTTGGTAAGCACTCATAAGCCCACTCTTGAAAACAAACCACGCCCCCGTCAAGAGTAGTATGTTGTAAATGATACAGTATCTGACATTGCGATGGCCTCAGTTGGCCCGGGCCTATCCTGTTTGCAAATGATCTCTGCTTAAACCCACTGCACAATTTTACAAACAAACGAAGTCTGAAATGTACTAAATCCCTTATATTTAAAATTGTATTCTTCTTTTTTTTGGGGGGGGGAGGTCAGAAAGAAGTTGAGCCCGCGGAGTACTGGGCAGGGATACAAATTTCACGGAGTGCGTTTGTGTTCAACTCAGCTTTCTCGACTAAAATATCAAGCTCGTCATAATCTATACGATGTTCTCCTGCGTTAAGACTGTTCTTTATTTGTGATGAAAAAATATCGCTATGATTTTGTACTGCCGTCAACTGTAATTCTTCTCTATTTCAGATGCCGATGCCCTTTTCCGTATCAATGAGAATAAAACATACACCGCAGGGAATCATGAGTTGTTGAAAATGTCAGCAGTTTTAAAAATATTCATGTGCTAACAACTGTTAAACGCCCGGAGTTAACTCCAAATGTCACGTATCTCCAGAAGGACAATGAGCGTTGTTTTTTTTCTTTTGGGCTTGACGCAACCGCTATTGGTTACGAAGTTATTTGTACATTCATTAGGTTGGCCAACATTCCCGGAGGTCAAAACCATGTAGACGCCGTCCGGAACCGGCATATCATCGACACAAACATTACAGGAAAACATGCGCCACTTTTGCCATCAAAGCCTACCGGGCAAAATAAAACTTCATGGCCTTTGTAGAGTTTCCTAGAAACTTAAACATACACTGTTGTGTTGTGCTTCAATGCGTTTTCTGTAAAATGTATCACAAACTAACAGAGAATCTTTGTAATGGACGCACTTCGTGACTGTACAGTGATTTTTTGTGTAGCAACAGAACCTTGTAAAAAGTTTTGTAAATGTACAAGGTTCCTCTGTAACATGAAATAACATAAATTTGCATATTGACTTTTTAGCACAAAACCACTTTCATAAAGTTGATTTCGCCATTTTTCTTGTGTTTCCTTTTTATGCAAATAACAGGTAATCTTTTGTGGAGAACGAATTTATTCTGAGTTATCTTGTGTGCCAATAAATAAGAATTGCTAAAACCAATATGTTTTTAACCTGCCATCCTGCCAACTGTGACTAAAGTCGAAAGTAAAAGCGATGCACCTATAAGCAAGCTGCGTGCCATTATAGATAAGTCTAGTAGCAACTGTGATCATGCTGCATCGGTCAGGTGAGGAAATATGTCTTAACACATGAAATAAAAACCAAACTTGTTAATGTCATCACCAACGAAGAGCATAGATACACTCCCTCAACTTTGTAAGCAGCCTCCTTCAACCTCGTCTACGCTGTTTCCACAAAGGAAATGTTTTAGTCAGGAAAACAGTTGACATAAGATCCTATGTAAATGTACAGAAAAATTTCTAACAGTGTACGTACATTCAGTCGAACTCGACGCCCTATCCCCGGCCCTATCCCTGGCCCGATTCAGGCATGCATGACCACTGGATTGTGTTGGTCATGCGAAGACAGACAAGTGGAAAGTCACAAGATAAACATCATCAGGATTCAAATTGTGTTTCTCAATTATCATTTCATAATAAGTTCTTGGCTATTCCTATAGCACAACAGCAAAGAGCACAGGGTCCAAATTGATCTGGAACTTGTTTAAAAAATAATTTGTCGCCTCTTCGTCAGTGTCTGTTTATGTGTGTGTGAGTTGCTTGTCTTGTTGTATGTCTGTCCTTTTTGTGTGCTTGATGTGTCTGTCTGTCTGTCGTGTTGTTTAGGTGTCTAAATGCTCATTGTTATCAGATGAATCATCTACATTCTGGTTGCTCGTTGCATTTGTTTATCTGTTACTTTTGGCTGTTTGTTGGTTGTGTTTGTATTGCTTTTCTTATTTTTCCTAGTTGTTTGTTGGTCTGTCTTCTCCGTTTGTTTGTTGTTTTTTGTTCTGTTTGTTGGGTGTATGTTTGTTTGTAATGTTGGTGTTTTTGTTCCTTTGTACATCTGCTTAAGTATGTAATTTGCGGGTTGCTTGGAGTATGAGCCCTGAGATGGACTGAGAAAGGGCGCGATTTTCCAAGCAACGCAGGCTTCTTCGGCAGGAATGCACTTCGCTGGTTCACACACAACTATGACATGGGTTACGGTCGCACTTCTTCAAACAAAATGACCTTTCCCGACGAACATAGCTCTTTTCAACTGATGAGGGGACGCTTCTTTATTGAAGTTCTTACTGATTTTTATGCATTACGGTAGGGTGCACGCTTTGGAAGAGTCACTTGACAGTAATTAAGTTCACTTTTTAATAATCCCGTATGAGCGTGGCTCATTTGGATATTAGGCTTCATTTTAGTCCTTTAAAACATTCTGGTCCTTTTGAAAATTTTATATTCTAGGTTTTTGGCGTTTTTTGTATCTAATTACAGGGTATTTTTATTTATTCCTGCTGATATAAATAAATTATAATATGAATGGATGAACGAATGAGATTGGGAAGCACTTCTTACGAAGGATGAATGCTCAAGCTGGGTCATAGTTTTAGACATTTCAAAGCTCTTTTTCAAAATCGAAACAGGGAAGGGGAAACAAAAGCCGAGGGGAGATATCCTCTCAGCCAACCCCTTTCGTTTATACGCTAAAGGACTCCTTCAAGAAACTGAAATCAATACATATCTAGAAGTCGGAAGAATCACACTTCTTTTCGCACCTGTGATTTTAAGAATAGAAGTGAAGTGAAGTGTTTGAATCTCCTTGGAGAATGTTAGACGACATTTAATTTTGGAAATGCTGCTATGACTGATGAAACATACTCTTTCACATAAATGCATGAAACTTTGCTTATTTGGTAATATCTTGAGAGAAAAATGTTTAAGATGTGGAGCCATCGCGAACTCACCATTGTAGGGGGCGTGGCAGCTATTCAAAAATTGGAGGGCCTTTATATGCCACAGCTTTATTATTACCATCTTTCACTAAGTATTAAACTTCTCCAAGGCATATACATGAAAGGGGCAGGCACAACACAATGAGAATGACTTGCTTGGAATCAGCCAGTGTTGAAGAAGCCCAGTTGATATTAAAAGGGTGATAAAAAAATGCTCATGAGAGGAGATTATTTTCACTTGTTTTATATGAGTTATAGAATTTCTCTGCAAAAAATCAGTGGACTGCTCTGCCTTGAGTGTAGTCTCTTTTCGGTCGTTTCCCTTGATATTCTGTACCTTATAAAATCCAATATTCAATATCTGAAATGGGTCTAGCCTGGATTTAAACAGGACACCAAAACAATTACTAATCAAATTACGAATAAGATGCTCATAAATATTTCATAACAGAGAGATAAGTAATAAATGAATGTGAGTTCCCCTATGTTTGGGAAATTCTGGTTAGGTTTTCACTGATTGGGGGATCATGGAAGTAAAACATCCTTTCAGCATTTCCAGAACACGATCGAAAATGTTTGTCACATCGGAAATTGTCCTTTTACGTACTCTAAACGGATGTTCAGTTTGCAGAAAAAGACCTTCTGATAAAAGCTACCCATGATGATACGACCTCTGTTATTTCAGTGGTTGTGCTGTTCAGAAAACGGGCCTTTGAAGGTCAAAGCCTTGGCGTGAGCATTGCCAAGACCTTTGCTCCCAACACTCAAGTGCCCCCACTTTTAAAAGGCTGCCTAAAGCGCCCCGGAGGAATAATCGAGGCTCTACATCTAAACAAAATCGACTCCATATGTTTCTGTGAGAAGTTTCAAGCCTAAGAGGGGGTCCAAATATGGTGTAGTGGGGATAATGAACCCACACCCATTTATAAAATATAAAACGGTCATAAGTTTTTAGAGCAGTGCCCATCCTTTTTTAAATGGCTGTCACGCCCCTAAAAAGGCGCGTTACGTTTATGATGGCTCCGCATCTGAAATTTGTTCTTCCTTTTCAATACGCATGCCTGTGAAAAGTTTCATGTTTCAGTGAAAAGTAATCACAACGTGAGGCCTGTGGCATAAGACACATCATGAGGTTACCAATTTTAAAATGGTTGCCGCAACCCTAAAAGAGAGAGTTTGAGATGGTTCAACATCTGAAACATTTTCCCCGGAAATAAACTTTGAAAAAGTGCAGAATTTGGCCACAAAGTCGTTTCTGCTGTACTAATAGCGTGGTATTCCTTACCACGATTTCTGAGACAAAGGGAAAACCAGCTTGAGTGTTTAAGAATTATTTCAAGATTTGATGGTAATATGAGCAAAATAGGCTAATTCAATTACTTTCCAGCTCTTTGCCTATGCCTTTAACACAATATTACAAATTAGCACATGGTAAAAAATCACTTATCATATCGTCAATTCAGACACAGACACTGCAGCTCTCCACTTCATAAGCGTTGCAAAGAAAACTTTCCACCAGCTCAAGGTTTTTTCCGTGCCGGGGTCTCCTTTTCGGTGGT